GGCTGGTTAGCTCAGTTGTTTAGAGCACAGTGCTCATAACACCAAGGTTGCTGGTTCGATCCCTGCCAGGTCCACGGAGCTGCACCCTCCACAACTAGATTGAAACAACTACTTGAATTGGAGCTGATGGGTTCTGGAAAAACACACTGTTCCCCAATAAAAAAGAAAAGAAAAGGTATGAGATAGTCTCTATGATATGCCCTGAATTTGCCTCTTAATTTTAGGCACATACTGTAGGAAAATATAGATCCTTACAGCCTCCCAAATCTAATAGCATATTAGAATTGGTAGTCACATAGGCCACATTTCCTTACTAGAACAGTTAAACCCTGAATTACTACTGTTAAATACTTGTAGGACATCAGACCTACAGCTACTCTCCCTAATACAGCAATGAGTAATCATCAAATTAAGGCCTTCTTGGGAATACAGCCAGTACTATACAGTGTTTCCCATGCAATGATCAACTGCTGACAGCATCACATTTAGACTAGTGTCAAATACCACAGAAACCATGTGACAGGAAGCATGATACTATTTAAGAGCTAAAATTATACCTAAATAATGTAGTAGACATTTTGGAGACAATGGCTCTACCCTTAGGGTTCTCTGGGTCCTGGGTCCCTACACGGGCAGGTATGTCCTTATAATTGGCCTCCTTTAATTGAGCCAGGCACCCCTGAATTCTATTCCTCATAACCAGAAAGACTTCACTAGAATGGAAGGCAAAGTTACATAAAATAGATGAAAATTCAGGCTTGCCCAGGTCCAGAAATAACTTTTATTTTAAAATCCTTAAATTCTGGATGCCTCTGGCCTATCATCTACATTCAACCTTTTCTCAGGTAGTTTTCTCTCTAAGCCACTTGGAAAAATTCTGCTTCCAANAACTTAGTTTTTTAATGTAGTAAAAATTATTCAAAAGAAAAAAATCTTACATGTATTTCCCTTAAAATGAGAAGCAAGAGGAAAATGCTCAAGGGCAGCAAACTAAGTGAATGCAGTGTGGACTTGGATGCTGCGTGCACTCACCGCCCATGGCAGCACAACCGCTATGCAATTTAAGAACGAATTCCCTACCACACAGGCATAAAGGAGAATGAAGAAATTATGAGCTGAAACTGGAACATTCTCCAAGATACATTTTTTTAAAAAGCAAACCACAGAACCATGTATATAATACCCTACCATTACATAAAAAGAGAGAAAAGGAATAAATGTAAGTATTTGTAAGTGTATAAAATATCTCTGGAAGGATACATGAGAAATCACAGCATTGGTTGCCTCTAGGGAGGAAAACTGGGTGCTGGGGAACAAGAGTGGGAGGCTTTTCACTGTGTGCTCTCTTGAACCTTTGAATTTGAACTATATGAATGTATTGCCAATTTAGAAAACAAATGAAATTATTTAAAAAAAACAAACTTCCAAGAGTAGAGAGGATCTCAAATGAGGCATAATGACATTTAGCAAAAGTCTGAGACCAAGGCAAATGTAGCACACCTGTAAGCATCTCAGGTATGTGAATCAATCCAATGAAAAACATACATTTATGGAGCAACTAAAATATTCAAAGCATTATACGAGGATCCGTCAGAGATACGAAAATGAATAAAACCCAGACCTTACCTTCAAAGGACTAATTTAGCAAGAGAAACATTTGATTAAATCAAACTTAGCTGGCCAATACTTACAAGGACCCACAAAAGTCCAGATATATCATGAAGTCTTAACCAATATTAGCAGAAGTACTGCTGTGGATTCGTTACAAACAACAGGAAAATTCCAAAGGACTTCATTAAATTGAAAGAAATGTATTTACATCTCCTTCTCACCACCTATACTCACCAGCAATTTTCAAGTGTGCGTGAAAATGTTTGTGTGTCAGCAGGGGCTCAGGTAACTCTCCTAGAAACATCTTCAGCAAGGTGGCAACGTCATTGGAGTGAAACTCCCCTGATTCCAGGTCAATATCAGTTCCATTATTGAGAGCATCCCTTAAAATCTGCTGCCGGACGCTATTCCCTGGTACTCTAAACAAGCCCTCTACACGCAAGTCTGTTTAGCATGTAAGAAAAGAGAGGACAGGCAAAAAGGAAGTAAAAAGAGAGAGTATGATTAAAATAAGTCATAAATGGCTACTTAACACTTGAAAGGCCCTTTACACAGTCCTTGAAGGAGGTTTTTGCCTTTCTTCCCAGAGTAGTTTAGAACTCACTAGCCCATGAGGACATCCCTGAACACCTGGAGATCTCCCAGACTAAGAGCTGCTTTGCCCAGCAGTCAATTCAACCTCCTGAGGCACATCGGAAGACTGAATTTAAGTTAAACAATCAAAATGAGCTTGAAAAAGAAGTTGAAAGAAAAGTCAAATCTCCCCTGAAGTCCCCTCCCTTTTGGCCATCCAGACTTTGTTTGAAGGGGCTGAGCTCATCTGTGGAGGTTTCTTGCTCCTGTGAATGGTTTCCCAGCCCAAAATGAATCTAGAGTCTCTGCATTGCCCCAGGAATTGGAACTCTGACCTGTCAGGTCACCTTTCGCCTAAGATTCCAGGAGCTTAGGGTCATCCCCACTAAACTATGCTTCCCTCCAACTAGGTTCTAAGCTAATCTAAGGGGATAAAAAAGATCAGACATATAGTTTTGGTTTGATCTGGAAGAAGCATGAGAGTTCATGTTTTCAGCTTAGGTACATATTTATCCTCATCTAACTCCTTAATCGAGGGGTCCAAGTTCAAATGCCTATAGGGCCAAGCAGGTAACAGTAAATTAAATGAATGAACAGAAACCATAACAAACTGGAGAGCACATACTTGTGTTCTAAGCTGATTGTGTCAAACTGGCAACAGGGCCCAAGGATGTTAGATCTTCCTGTCATCCCCAGGAACTGAAAACCTTAAATTTCCCCATTTTAAAACACTGATAAATAATTTTATTTTTAATTTAATCATTTGCCAACCAAATAAAACATGAATGTAGATGACTCAAGCCCTTAGGCTGCCAGTTTACAATCTCTGCTCTAGCTCCTAGCACATGGCCACATTGAATAAGCCATAAATAAGTGTTTGTGTTGAATTTATCAAAGTATCATATAATGCCACACATTTCACATATACTCAGCTGTGCCAAGCATTTAGAGCAATGACATAACCGGCACTGACTACTAAAAAATGAAATAGGAATTAAGAGAAGAGTGTATTTTAATCACAGAATTCTAGGGATGAAAAGTACCTTTGGTGATAAATCATGCTCCCTTGAGAACATGTTACGATTCTTTAGGGACAATGAATTTTTCCAGAAAAAATGTCTAAGTCAAGGATAAAATGTGATTTTATAGACACGATCTAATTTATATACACCCTTGAGAAAAAAACAACCGTATGTATTGAAATTTGAAAGGAAATATATTTAGAAACATGCCACCTGAAATTATCCCTGACTAATGTCTTTGTTGATGGTTAATTGGCAACCTACTAACTCAAGGATGTGAACTCCCAATAGAAAACTGGCCACCGTTTATTAACAAAGAACAACAAAATTTCAAGGAGTCTTACTTTTGTGGAGATATTCAATTAGTTGGTATATCTGGGCAATACCTTCCTCTGTCAGTGGAGATCCAAATACTACTCCTTTTTCTAAAAAAAAAAAAATAGGATAGAACAGGGCTATATTTCCACAAATAGTACAAAATCAGCACACGAGAAACCACTCAGGCATCCTAGGTTACAGTTCAGCAAATGTTTTCATGAGGTCAGTAAAAAAAAAACCTTAGAGCTAGAAGTGCACCCGAATATGCAACCAAAACGACTCTCAATCAACTCTCCGCAAGTTTAATATTGGATGGTAGGTTCCTTGAAGGCAAAGAACATCTTCTCATTTAAGTAATAATACCTAAAACGTTGAACTTATAAAAACAAACAAAAAATAGAGCTTAAGAGTCATAATTGTCAAAGCATGACAGACTATCCACGAGAGTTGGTACAGGGTCTGATCTGTTATAATGTTAAAACTTTTGCTACGTTAATGATTTCCTTACATTTAATAAAATAAAATAGTACCTCTTTAATATCTTATCAAAAGCAGTGCTACAATTTATTTTCTGGGAAAGTTTTTTTGGACAGGTGATTCATAGGTATTTGCCTTATTAAATGCATTCCATGAAATGAAAACATTTGAGTACTAACAACTGAAAGAAAAACATGTTCAAACTTTATTTACCGTACTCTCCCGCTGTGTAACTTTGTTTTTTAAAATATTATTTTAGTATAGTATTAAAAGGGCATAAAAATCAAGGGACCCCGATAACTACCTAAACTAATGATGTCAATCTCTCGGGCACTGACATATTTGCTTTAGTTTATCTAGACTGTTTTTATATTCTTATCAAAATTACTTAAGGTTTTGCTACTTATGAAAAAAAAAAATGACCAAAAATGCTTTACGGTTAATAGCATACTCTCCAGTGAACACGCAGATGTGACGAGTGAAGCCCAGGAAAGAGCTGAGACGCGCCCACCCTTCACAGACACATCTCCTACCCTTTCGCTTGAGAGACATTAGAGACCGGAAGAATCCTGAAGCTGGGCCAGCCCCACCAGGCAACTTAAGGTCCACTTCTCCCATCAGCTGGGCCA